CAACTGCAAAAGGCTATGAGCAGAAGCATCCTGCCCGTCCTCAGAGGAGAGAAGCGGAGTGACCTTAGAAGTGTCAGGAAAGGAGACTTTTAGCTCAACAGAAGAACATATTAGTGATGGCAATAATTTGACGGACTCCTGGGTAGGAAGAGGAATTCTCCCTTCCTGGAGGTATGCCAGCATGGTCTGGAAAGGCATTTTGCTTACAGGAGAGAGGAGATCTGGGTGGAGGACCTCCAAGTTCACTTTTGACCCTTAGGTTCTGTGAGCCTATAAAGCTGCCTGGCAGAAACTGATTAATCCCTTCAAAAGAAGTGGTGAAAATACCTGTTGGCTTGTCTATTTGCAGATATCAAAGTAAAAATCTGCCCAAAGTAAACACACTGGTCCAGAGAAAAACTAAACGCAGAAAATGAAAAATTCTGCTGGAAATTCTTACAGAGTAAGCTTTTATTTTGTGTAAGCAAGAAACCAGACTCTGGAGAGATGTGCAGTCTCAAAAATAACCAAAGAAAATGTACTGAAGTACCAGTTTTCACCTATTAGCTTGACACAATGATTTAAGACATAGTCACACCCATTCTACGTATCAAGAATGATAAAAATGACATTCCTTTTTGACACAGGTAAAACGATCCCAAGAAAATTACAGAAGATACAAAGGGAAAAATCTGTGCCAACAAAAATCTTCATAGATGTTTTATTTAGAAACAACCTAAAAATTTGAGGAAGGGCAATGGGCTGGCTGGGTGGCAGAGGTGGGGGCTGAGGTGGGTGAGGGGAGCTGGAAGCCGGGGAGGGGGCCTTGTCAGCGTGCACAGGGAAAAGCCCATGAGTACCGAGTGCTAAAGGATGAGTACAGGATGTCTGGAGGCGCCAAAGGCAGGCATGAAAGCCAAGCATGTAAGAGGTCAAAGCAGGTCGGAGACAAGACAGGCGCACAGATAGGTGGGGACCAGTGGGCGTGGGGACAGGAGGACGGGAGGGGCAGGGAGGGGAGGAAGGCCAACATTAGCACGGGCAGCCGTTGACCCACTCTCGCTGGAGAACTTTAACGACGTCCTCAGTCCTCTTAACAACCCCCTCACTGGTTACTACTTTCTCTAGTTTGCAGACGAAGAAGCTGGTGTTCAGAAAGCTGAAATAACTCACCTCAAGGGAGGCAGTAGGTGCTAGAGCTGGGACCTGACCTCAAATGCACTGACCTAAACTTAAGCTCATTTTACCACCGCTCTGGACCCAAGTGTGCAGGGAGGCCTTTGGTGAACTGGCAGCCCTGCAGGTTAGCCCCACTGCGGACCAGGTGGTGGACTCAGTTGTGGGCTGATGTCCATCCACTGGGTAGATGTCAGAATTGATGGTGATACACTTCATGGAGCAAGAGGGAAACATGTTCAACACAAAGGGAAGGACACAAACCTGATCATATGCCACGACCACATATAAAATACACATTTACTCTCTTGAAAGAAGGACTAGAAGAGATACATTACAATGCTTGCAGCTGTGCAATTTGGAATGTTTCTCCAATTTTTCCAAAAATTTCTATAAAGTGGTTTTCATTTTTTTTTTTTTGAGTAAAGGTAGATTTATTCAGAGAGATACATTGAAAGGCAAGAGAAAAGGCCACGAGGTGTGGGGGCTGGGTGCTCAGATTAAAAGTATGTACACACTTCATAGGCAGAGTACGGGCCATCTCCGAAGAAGGAGAGAGAGAAGGGTCGGCGGCCTCATTTCTTTATAATTACCAAAAAAAGTCGTAATGCAGAGATGCATCTAAGAAACCCATGGGCATGTAACAGTCACTAACACACTTTCCTCAGCTGGAAAATAAAAATAAGCCACATCTTTCTGTTTGGTCTGGTAACAGAGAACTTGTGGCCAGGGCCTCTGAAGACAGTGCCCAAACCTCACCACTTCAGGCTCTGCCAAGTCGGGACCGACGGTCCTGTCCTCCACAACTCACTGGCCTGTCACAGGAATCGGAAAAAAGAATCTAAGCGTGCAAGTGAGGGGAAAATCACTGGCACCTACGCTGAAAGTCACCTTCTGCATCACGTCCAACTAAAGAGCATTTGGTGAGCATGAAAGAGTAACTCTAAACAAGTTTTTAGGGTAGATCCTCAGCTATTTAAGACAAAATTTATTCTCAATTTCAAATATCATCAGGCCCTTTAAAAGGAGCATGTCTTTTTACTTAGGAAACACTCTTGTCCCTTTGTTAAAGCAGGATTTCTAATGACGTCTACTCTACTGGTGTCATTTAGAACTGGCACTTGTGTTAAAATGCACGTTCCCAGTTCTATCGCAGACCTACTGGATCCAGCTCTCTAAACTAAAGCCCAGGAATCTGTATTTTAAGCACCTCAGCAAATTCTTAAGATTGGGCAAGTTAGGAAATTCTCTACTACACAAAATGATCTTGAGTTTTGTGTAAGTATTTGAATGTAATAAAGCTGTGGGGCATCATAAGTGGTACTATTATTCTTCATCCCTCCAAAGGCTTAAATTAACGGGACTAATTTCCATTGATGGATTACTTAAATCTCCCAAATATGCCCTGAGATTACATGGCTAGATTCTCAGCCCAGACCATAATATCTCACTCAGCTTTTGGGGAAGAAGTAAAAAAATTTTGTACAGACCTGGATTCTGACCCAGCTCTACTGCTGACAACTCTGGGACCTTGGCCAAGAAGTTATCTAACCGTTTCTGAGCCCATTTCCTCATTTGTATGAGTGTAAGAACAATGGCCCTGCCTCATCTAACAGTCACAGGGCACCCAGCACACAACAGGTGCTCAGAAAGTCTCAGTCCATCTAGGGTATAAAAATACTTCCCCCACCCCTCCCCAATTCCCCATCAGAAGCCGCTCTTACGTCCTTCCTTGTCACATACACTTCTGATTTTTATCCTGCCTTACAAGCTAAGGATAACTAACAATTGCATGGCTCTTTGAGGCTTACAGACCCCTTTCCCAGATACTACCTGGATTACCCTCCACAACAACCCTGAGTTAGGGATCATTATCTCCACTTCAGAAGAAACGAGCTCCAGAGAGGTCAAGTGACCTTCCCAGAAGTGGGAAAGAACTCAGATCCCACAATTTTTCACAACCTTGCTCTGTTCCTAATGTATGTGTCGTATATTATGCAAAGCACTTCCACGTCATAGTATTTTTAAAATATGCAGTAGTATTTAGTAGTAATATTTTTAAAATATCCCATGACTGTTTTCCCCTGCAACCTAAAAGCATCTGTGAAGCAGGTATCACATTGTATTCGTCTTTGTAGGGAAATGCACAGCGCCCCTGGGGGGCTGCATCTTTGCCATGCTTAGGGAGAAAAGGGGATGAGCTCAAATATGATGCATACTTGATCACCACCTCTCAGGCATCCCATAGTACTCATGCCCAAGTTGCCCCCGCCATTAAAATGGACACATCTTAAAAACAAGAATTTATTGAGCACTTCTAAGTTTCACAAACTTTACTTACCTAATGAATCGAGTGAACATACATTAAACACTTAGGAAAGCCCTGGAACATGTTAAGTATGTTATTGTTATTATTATTTAATTATCCATATAGCCTGTGAGGTACTCATTATTTTTCTCACTGTACTGATAAGAACTCTGAGAAATTAAGTAATTGGTCCAAGATCACCCTGCCGGTCTATAGGGAGCTGGGAAAATATCATAAGAGGAAATTGACATCTATACATCCTATTAGCAAGCATATAATATTTCATATTACAAAGAATTATTTCATTTACTAAGGTAAAATTCCTCAAAGAAGCAGCCACCTCCACTACTTACCCTGGTGACACCAAGCTTTTCCTTACAGGCCACCAATGATCTAATGGTTTGGTGGATAAACCATTAGAGACACCAGACGCCAAAGTTTTCCAACCAATGCCTAAAAGCCAATAACAAGAAATGAAGAAAATAATGACCGCCAACATTGATTGAGTACTATATATATATATAATGTAAAATTCTTACAGCAACTCTGCAAAGTAGGTATCTCCTTTTTATGGAACATAAAATGGAAACTCAAGAGGTTAGGTTAAATGCAAAGTCAAGCTTGGAACCCAGGTGCTGGGCCCTTGCCCCAAACCCTTGCCATTTCCAACACATCATGCTGACTTCACAGGCATTACAGAAAGGAAGCTGCAAATCAACAGGAAGCTCGAATGTGGTTTGCCAGATTGTGCACCAGGCACCTTAGAGACGCAGCTACTGAATGAGATAAAAATTATGTAACTTGAAAGATCATTTGAGATACAAGATAGGATAAACATACCAACACCGGGTGACATTGCCCCCGACTTCCTGAAGGTAACCTTGGACCACATCTAACATTACCACCCGCTGACATTCCTTTATAAAGACTGACTCAAATTATCAGCGAAGCTGAATCTCAGATCACCTTGAGTGAGAGGCGACTGGTCCCAGATCTGTCCTTTGAGGTAAGAGAAAGTAATCTGCTTCAAGACAGCCCTTCAGATCCGTAGACAGCAACCACATCCCTTATGAATTTTCTCTCCTTCAGCCTAAAGAGTTCAACCCCTCAAAGAACACTGGTCACTTTCACTGTACACTTAATAGCCATCCTTAACTAAATAAGGACAATGATTGTCTACAGCAAAGAATTAATACACTTTATTATAGCACAGAATAGAGGAGCAAAGACAGAAGTCCTTGAATGGTAAAAAATATCAGCTCAAATTCTTAGCTGAGCAATAGGCAACTCAGAGACACTTTGTGCCCCTGGGAAGACAGTGCTTTCATCATTCCCAGAATGACACGGGTGTCAGGTTGCTGCCTGAGTCTCAGCAAATCCTTCTGCCTTCACTGGAATGAGAGGTCCAAGTTCAGAACAAGTCACTGACCCCGGAACCCTACTGGCTCTCTGCACACACACCACCACGCATGGAGGGGTCTGATCTGGACGGCGCCATCACCCGCAAATCACATGCCACGCAAGGAAAACAAGAAGGCTTTATGAAAAATTCAAAGTTTATTGCAAATTGTATTTTGCTTCCCTCCGTTCTTCATTTTTACAGGATTTATTGATATCCATGATTTTTTCACAGATGTACTTGTTGACTTTGGAGAGTCTCTGTGCAATTTCAGTTTCATCCACAGTTTCTTGTGCTATTCTGTCGTACAAACACTCTAGACAGGAAAAAGAAACAAGAAGGCCAAGGATTAATGGTGCATTCCAGTATGTACCTTTTAAGGGGGGGAAAGGAAAATGTGCCTCCTGACACGCTTCCAAAGTACCAACTCACATATCTCACTTAACTGTATTTTAAATTTTTCAACACAAAATGTACTTAGAAAAAAAGCAGATATACACTGTACATTTACAAACATCCAGGTACCCATCCTTTGCTTAACAGGACATTATCGGTCCCTTTGAAGCCAGAGATGCCCACACCCCCAACCCCATCCTCGCCTTGTCCTCACCAGAGATAACTCTGAATTTCTGCTTCTCTTTTAATGTTAACACATATGCATACATCCTTAAATAACATATTGTCTACCTTTCCTCTGTTTTTCACTTTTTTACAAGTGTGTCCATACTCTGTATATCCACCTGACTTTTTTTCACTCAACATTCCAGTCTGGAGATTTGCCCATGCTGATGTGGACAGCTGCGGGTCACTCACTTTCACTGGTGAGCAGTATTCTATTGTCTGACCATTCCACAACTGGCTGGCCCACTTTATTGTCAATGGATGCCTGGATTGTTTCCTATGATCTGCAATTACAGGCACCCTGGGCCATGTCTCCTGGGGCACACATGGAGGAAATGCTCAGTACTGGCTGGAACGAACTAATGTTAGGGTGCGTGCATGCTGAACTTTACTAGGTGATGCCTGGCAAGCTGTCCTCCCCAGTGGCTGTTCTGCTTAGCACCCCCTAACAGGAGTGTGTGCAAGGACCGCCTGCCCATCTCTCCCACAGCACTTCATGTCAGACAGTTAGGGCTTTGACAACCTAGTGGGTGTGGAGTGGCACCGCACTGCGGTGATTACTAAGGCTGAGTATGACCACTTTTACTGACTCTGCCATTTGCTGTGATGAAGTGAAGAGTGAGCCCTAGACAGGGCCGGGCTGGAGCCTGACTTTGGCCTACTTCCTAGCCTAGGACCCGAGGCGAATCACTGTCCTAGATTCCTCGCCTCATAAACAGGGATAACAAACCACAGATGATCTTTTTTAAGGCTGCCATGAGGGATGTGAGACAAACATTTTGCAAGGCTTCTTCAGACTGTAAGGAACACTGCACCTGTATGGGGTTAATTACAATTATTGTTCCCAGGGCCTAGACAGTGCGTGGCACCGGGGCAAGATTAAGCATATATGTGTTGAATGAATGAATGAATGCTTTCCTAGAGTAACCTGAGGGGACATGACAATTCTGGACACCAGGGGACTGAGAGTGCCGGCAGGGAAAGTACCACGGGGGCATGTAATCATGGGCAAGAGTTTTAAATTCTTTGAACCTGAGCTTCCTTAACTATAAAACAGGACTGATAACCCAATCTTAAGGAACTGCCCTGGAAGACAGACAGAATCTTGTTTACCAAGCTGGCAGAGCAGATAATCCTGCTAGTGATGTAGAGTGACAGCACGGGAAGGGGTCACAGACTAACCTGTGCTAACCCCTCCATGAACTTGTGAGAAGACAGGCCTGGAGAAAGCAGGTAAGTCTGGGCAGAACCCACTGCCACTTCCCCCACTCCGAGCCCTTCCGTGGGCACGCGGCCAGCCTGCCCCCCGCTGCCACCCCTGCTGCCACCCATGCTGCAGATGCACGTGTTACAGGCCTTCTTTCTCTGAGGCACCATCTCCTCCCCGCCGAGACGGGTTTTGCACAGAGAAACCTCTGAAAGCTTTTAACTGACCTTCACTACTTCCTGACCACTTCCAACCTGACTAACCTTCACCTCATCTTGTCTTGGCCTCTCCGTAGGGACTCAGACATGAAGGTAGGCAGCAGTGTCTCTCTGGTCCCCCCTCTGCCATATCCACCTGAGATGCTCTCCCCACTGCAGGCCACCCCACCAGTATCCTTCACCTGCCTAAATCCCACTCTTTCTTTCAGATTCTCCCTCTGGGAACCTACAAGACTGAGTCCGGAGACCCCACTGCCTACGCACCTTCTGTGCTCCCACCTTTCCCTGGGCTTTTCTCTACCAAAGCCCTGCTAGCCATCTAATAGAACAGTGACTATACTGTCTCGTCTACAGACTGGAACACAGGTGCTCCCTCCCCAGCCCTGGGCCAGGAAAGAGCAGACACCCGCAGTGATATCACTGGAACCGGAACCAAACAAGGAGATGCTCCATGAGAACGACTGTTTCCAAGTTCAGGGGTTCTAATCTGGCTCTAACCCTGGCTGCTGCACCACCCCGAGTGGGACTCTCTCTGGGAAAGGAAAGCAGGATGTTAAACCTGATCATCTACGGAGATTCTTCCAGCTCTGAGTCCCTAGTTCTCGGAAGGTAACAGAGTGGATAAAGAGGCAAAGGAGAGAGAAGGGGGATGGGGAATGGGCGTGATGGCTCTTAGAGGCCCTGGCATGAGTCGGAGAAGAGGCAGGAAGAGAAAGGTACAGATGAAGGAAGGTTTTTCAGAGAGGCCTCCACAGAATTGCAATCATTCCCATTTCCTGGGGGTAAGAGCCCTGAACGGCCCCTGAGGTTGATTCAAAGGCTTTCATTAGACTCTAGATATTAATCACCTGCAGTTGCTGGGAATGTCTCCCTCTGCGAGGGAGCATTTGAGATTATTGCTTAATTAACAAGGTTTATAACAGCGCTAATGTGTCCTATTAAAAAAGTTATAAAAATTAACCAGAACTCAACGCTGTGGCTCATTTGCAAAACTCAGATACTCTGCAAAAGGTCATTTGACCTTAATAAGGTTTAACTGTCATTCTGGAGTATGTCATTAAAGCCAGACTGTCCTCCAGCCCTCCTGCTTTCATCCTTCTGAAGCAGTGTCAGTGTTCACCATATCCCTCTGCTCTCCCGTAAGAAATGGCTTTAAAACCAAAGGGAAGAGAAAAGCCTCACCAATGCTGTGAGCATCAGGGCCTTTGCCATTTTGATACAGCAAATGTGGTAAAATCATACAAAATAAACACAAACAATCTCAATCTAGCAGACAGCTTGCATGGGAAGAACAAGTCAAATGAAATCTGGAAGAGCTCGAATAATTAGGCTAAAAATGATGAGTGTATGGTGGGATGGGAGACAGACTTCAAACCTACCCGCTGTAGTAAAGAAAAAACTAGTCAACATTGTACTTCAGTAAGACAAGGAACCCCTGGAGACAACGGGAAGCCTAAAAGCCCAGCTCTGCTTGGCTCTGATCAAACTGGCTGTATGGCCTCGGGCAAGTCAATTCCCTTCTCATTCACCAGAGGCAAGTATTCATGGGCTCTAAGGGGCTGCCTGACCAGGTGCCTAGGAGGCAAAGATATGACAGAAGAGAACAGAGGTAGGCACAAAGCGTTCTAGGACACGTGACAGAAGCGTCTCCTCCCCCTGCGAGGTCAGGGAAGGTTTCCTGAAGGAAGGTTCTCCTAAGCAGACCTGGACAGTGAGTAGCAGCTAGCTGGACAGAGCAGCGGTTGTCAGATGGGCAGTCTGACCTGTGTTCCAGGCACCAGGAACAGCATTTGCAAATTCCCTAACATGAGAGGGGACAAGGCTTGTTCAAGGAACACCGCGGTTCAAGGGGAATACTGCTGAAAGATAAGCTGGAGTAGAGCCAGGGGCCAGACTATCAAGGTGTTTTTACAACACATCAGGAAGCTTACCCTTTCATAATGGGCACCAGGGATTGGCTGTGATGGGGTGGTGGTAACAGGATCATACTGGGTTTCAGAAAGATCACTCTGGCTACATATGGAGTCTGGGAGCTGCTGGCATAAGGCAGGAGAGAAATGATGTGGCCTGGACCACGAAAGGGGTAGTGGGTTTGGAGAGAAGCGGATGGTTTCAGAGGTATACGGGGGCAGAAGAGATGGCGAGTAAGGCATGTGGAGAAGTTGAGAACGAGGCATCTCTGGGTCCTGGCAGGTGGTGTCACTCACCAGACAGGGAACACAGATGGGGCTGAAGGCTTTGGGAGAAGGGAAAGGAGAGCGGTGAGTGGTGTGGATCTGCCAGGTCACGTGGACGTCCATGAGGAGACAAGCAGAGGGCCCCTGGATGTACGGATCAGGGACTCGGAAGTGTGAACTGAGGTCAAACAGAGATTTGGGCATCGGTCACTGACTCAACAGATATTTACTGAGCATTTACTACATGCTAGCCCTGAGCAAGATGCTCACAAGGCCTATGTTCTAATGTGGGTGGGGAAGAAAGACAATCACCAAGTAACTAAACAAATTCAGAACTAAACAAAACTGCAGAGACTTTAGTGGGGGTGATGTGACAGAGAGCAATGGAAAGGCTACTTTATTAGACTGGGCACTTGGAGAAGGCCTCGCTGAATGACGAGAAGAAGGCACAATGTGCAGACCAGAGGGAGGGCACTGCCGGCAGTGGGGACAGGAAGGGATGGGGAGAAGGCCTCTGTGGTTAGAGCACAGCGGGGCTGGGAAGTGTGGTGTGACATGAGCTCAGAGGGGTCACCAGAGGCCAGGTCACCAGGCATCGGCCAGGATGAGGTGTGGGTTTCAACCCAGGGCGCTGCGGTGGGCACGCTGAGGGCAGTGGAAGCAATGAGAAGTGAGACCAGCTGAGGGCAGCTCTGTGGAGTGAGAAAGAGGGCCGGAGACGGCGGCGGAGCCAGCAGCAGGAGGGGAGCAGCATGAGAAGCAGAGGCAGGAGAAAACCCGAGTGTGCAGGAGGGTTTCTCAGTAAAGACGGCGTGGGCACGTCCCAGAGTGCTGGGAGGGAGGTGAAAGCATGCCCTGGCTGAGTAAGGAGGCAGTCCCCGGGAAGCTGGGCAAGAATAGAGCACGTGGGAGCTGGGCGCGGAAGCCGGAGGCCAGGGTTACTAGTGCCCGTGGGCAGTGAGTGGGGACAACTTTCTCAGGAAACCTGGTTGTGGGAAGGAAAAGAGAGATGTGGCAGCATCTGGGTGATGGAAACAGCCTCTAGGGAATGTTTTTTGTTTCTGCAAGAAATGAGTGATCAGAGCATATTTAAATGGTGCTGGGAAGGAACCAGGAGAGCAGGAACAGGTACCTAGGAAGGCAGGTGGGCTGGGATCCAGACAGAGAGAACGGCCAGCCCCAGACAAGAACTTCAATGATGTGACCATGATGAGGTTATGTCGGCTCCATGGGGGCAGCTCACTTGTCAACAAAGAACAGAAATTTCTTTTCACATCTCAAACATAACTATGCCAAGCTATAATCCTGGGCAGCTCTTTTAACCATCTTAAGAGGTAAGTTTTCAGCTAAGGACACTGAGACATGGAGGGAAAGTGACTCATAAGCAATCATATGAAAAGTCAGTGAGGGCACTGACATACAGGTCTGTGTTTCATCTATTCAGCCCTCATTTACTGAGCTCCTACTGTGTGCCAGGCCCTGTGCTAGGAATGGGGATGCGGAAATGGATCCTACGATAGGACTAGTGCCCGAGGCAGACGCACAGCAGATGATTTTATACCAAAGCAGCGTGACAACAGGTGGGCAGCCAGTCATCAAAAGACACCTGGGACCTGCTGAGTTACATTCCGACAAGTGTAATAGAATTAGAGGTCGGCCACCTCTCAGGTGGGGCAGGACTGCGTCCCCAGGAAGGCCGCTTTCTCAGGGTGACCCCCCAAATTAGGCTCCACAATTTCAGACAGCTGGCAGACTCAAGGTTACCTCCACTTGTCTAAAAATAAACGTCTTCCTAAGTCAATTAATCATGAGTCAGCCAGCTAGGGAGGCAGCTGTGTGACAGCAGAACGAGCCCCAGACCAGAGTCAGGGTGGTGGGTTTGCATCTAGGCTCTGCAACCTTGTAGCTGTGACCTCTGGCTGCTCACTTAACCTTCTCGTGTCCTGACACCCTGACCCCCAAAATATACTCTAAATCTGGCCATTTTTCTATATTTCCACTGCTCTAACCTTGGTCCATGGCACCACCATCTCTCCCCAAGACCATGCCTCGGCCTCCTAATGGACCTCCCATTTGGTCACTCCCATTCGAAGACTTCCATCACCCTTCTCCTGCAGATGGAGTAAATCCAAGCTGCTACTGTGGCCCTCAGGGCCCTCCAAGGCTGCCTGTCACCCACCGCCCTGATCTCACTTCCCCTAACTCCTGACTCTGCAGCTTCATGGGGCTCCTCCATCCCTTGGGCATGCCTGGCCTCTGTACCTGCTGTTTATTCTACCTGTTTCACCACCACTCACACCCTTACAGGGCTGCTTCCTCCACATCCAGTCCCCAGCTCAAATTCACCTCCTCAAACAGGCCTTCTCCAACCACCCAGCTAACATCGCTACTGAAGGTTGACGGTGTTTCACAGCCTTTCATCAGTACCTGAAATTCTCTGATTTGTTCATGGACATATTTGTTGTCTGCCTCAGAACCTGTTACAAGGCCCGTTCAAAATGGTGACTGATTGAGTCTCACTTTCTTCATCAGTACCATGGCAGCTGGACACTTAGAGACTACTGGTTAGGAATATAGCTTCTGAAGCCAGCCCTCCTGGCTTGGACTCCTGGCTCTACCCCTAAAGCTGTGTGACCTGAGCAAGTTACTTAACATCTCTGTGCCCAGGTTCCTCATCTGTAAAACAGGGATCATAATAGTAGCCAACAGTAGGAGTATTATGAAGAGTAAATGAGTTAATATATGTAAAAGCATTTTTAAAAACAGAATCATAAAAAAAACCCAGAACTTGAAACAACAGTAAGTGCTCAGAATAATTAGCAATTACTATATTCTCTCTGCTCCCATGTACTTTCCTGACTGTCTCTCTAATCTGTATTATCTGTACAGTAACTAGCTTTTCGTGTGTTCATCTTCCCCAAGAGGCAGTGAGCGCCCTGCAGATGGAGACTGTGTCTCATCCCTCTTTGTGTCCTCAATACCCACAAGAAAGCCTGGCAAAGAATAAGAGTTTAGTGAACGGATGAAGAGAGGGTGGGAGAGACAGTGGAAAGAAAGAAGGAAGAGGGAAGGAAGGAAGGAAGAAAAGAAGGAGAGAGGGGAAATCAAGGAGTCCACGCTGGAGCCCTATCTTTAGGGGGACAAATGACTCGCTGACTCTTTGCCTTCCCTCCAACCCCTCCCAAACACCAGAAGAGAAGCTGAGTTCAGCCACCCTCAGCTGTCTCCATCTCATTAACTGCTCAAGGCATAACGCTAGGTCTCCCATGACCTGGTCCCCTAGCTGCGATCTTTACCACTCTCAGTACATAGCAGCACTCCCTTCCCAACTCTAGCCTTTGTTCCAGATGCTTCTGCCTCCCGAAGTTCCTCTCTTTGCAGATCTGCGTCTCCATGTCTGATGTATCCTTCAAAGCCTGATCCAGTGACCCCTTTCCCCAGGAACCCTTTCCTGATTTTCCAGCTAGTGGTCTCCTCCCCTCCTGAGAACTCCCTTCTGCCCCTCTCGCATGTGAGCTCCGTGAACTGTACTTGTGTCCACAGCCCATGTGCCCTGTGAAATGCAAACTAGTCTGGGACCAGGCCCATATCTGCTCCTATGTCCCCATGCCCAGCCCGGGGCCTGGTGCAGAGGGGCTTCAGCAAGTGTTTGTCAAACGGAAATGTGCCCAACATATTCCTGACAGAGTGAAGGACAGCACCCTAGCCGCCACGTTTCCACTGCGTGACCCACCTCTGACAATGCTTAGTTTGTGAGGAGAGAGGGGTGGCTTAGGGACTGCATCTTTCTTTTTTTTTGTGGCAACTCCTGTGACGCTTCTGTTCTTCAGAACATCTGTTCCCCAAATCATGACTGCCAAGTTCTTTGTGTACTTGGAATCTCCTTGGGTTACTTGTAGCTGGTGCCATTTCTCCTCATCAACCCAAATCCCGCTTCCCAGATGGACCTGAAAGGGAGAAGAACACAAGCGAGCACCTGATTAGCCAGACGGGATGGCAGCTGGACACTTTCCTTGTCCTTTACAAGAGATTTCTAAACAACTATAAGGGGTCTTGTTCCATAAACACTAAATAAGCTTCCTTTAAGGGCAATAATAATAACCATTTAGTGAATACTTGTAATGTGCCAGGTCTTATTCTAGTGCTTTATATCCACTATCTCAAATCTTTACGGCAACCCTGCAAGGGAGTTGTTAGAGCACTATTTTCATTTCAGGTGGAAAAACGAGGCTAAGACAGGTGAAGCCACTGGCTGAAAGTCACTCAACTACTAAGCTGCAGAGCTGATCTGTTTTGTTGGTGGGGGGGCCGGGGGTCAGGATGGTTTAAAGCTCCTCAGGTAATTGCAACGTACAGCTAAGTGTGGCAACCACTGGCAGCCGGAGTGAGGAGAGCCGCTGTCCAGGCTGTGCCGTTCACGGGGTTGTGTTTGTGCAAGTCCTTCCCATTTCCGGCTTCAGGTTTCTGTGAACTGAACTGGGAGAACTGGATTCCAGCTAAGTTCCTTCTGGCTCAGAACACGTATGATTTTAACAAATTGGACACAACCATTGTGTCCTCATCTGATTCTGACAGCACACAGAACAAAACACAATTTTACACTCACTATAAGGGAAGCGCTCAGAAAGTTTCAGTGCAGAGTCAATAAATGCAAAAGTCTTGGAATGATCTAGCAATGAGCTTTGCATTTTTTTTCCTTTCTGGGTCTTTTAACAATTTAAAAACCATTTGCTAATAAAACTAATCAGTAAAAATTACGTTTTGACTTTGACATTGTCATTTATGCTGTGTTTCTGCTGAGTCTAAGGAGGGTAGAAATGGCCTCTGAGGGGATGGAGGGGAGACAGCCACTGACAAGTTACACTTTCAAAGGGGAATGGAAAGTTCCCGCCAAAAGTCTTCAGAAAGACTGTAAGTCATCAACCTTGCATGGTCGGGAGATGTCCCTCGAGAGTCCTGGTCTGAGAGACTGCATACACACCCAGACTGATAGCCGACTGGCCAGCATTGTTCAGAGAGATTCAAAGATCCTTCTACTTAAGACTGGCTTGGAAAGCAAGGTGGGCATGCACAGTTGGGCAGCAAGGTCAGCCAGCAACACTTCTTCCTTCACCAATTACTAAAGTCTTCCAACCGTTAAAAAGAAAAAAATATAGCAACATAGCCCACCCATGAATGTCAGTAAGTAAACAATCTACCTGCCACATCTAACTTCACTTCCTTTTGCTCAAAAGATCATTCGGACTTCTGCAGGCACGATATCAGATAACCAGATCCACCTGGCCTCCCTGTGCTTCGAACTTCGGTGATGCAAATCTGTTCACAGGGCTCGGGAAGATAAGCAACCTGGAGTGAAATGTGCTGCCTGGGGCTGGCTGGGCAAGATCGACCCAAGGTCAAGTCTGGCCTGTTCTCCGCAGTCTGAACTGCAGGTGGGCAGTCTGTGTGCCAGATCAGGCATGCTAGGGACAAGTTCCCTGCTGCTCCCTGCTGGACCCCAAGTCACCTCCTTGGATAACTCTCTGGGGCTACCCACGCACGCTTCCTGAGAGAGGGGGAAAACAAGGAATGTGAATTAGATTAAGTTCAGAATCAGAAAACTTCAGAGAAGACAACTTCAGTTTTTCAAAGATCTCTGCTCTTTTCTACCCCAGGCCTTGCTTTCCTATAATCTTTTCATTTATTGTTCTTAAAAGAGAGATGACAGTCTCTCTTTTTAGCCAATGTCTACAAAAGAAAGGGTCATCAATATTTTTTGAGTACTTTTAATGAACTAGTTTTTGTACTCTCAATTTATTTAATCCTCATAATGACCTTAAAAGATGGAAATAGGTAGGAATAATTATTCCTAATTTCCAGAGATGAACAGAGATTCAGAAGGACTAATTACTTTCCCTAAGACATACTATCAGTAAATTTTAGAATCAAGATTCAAACACAAATCTGTATGACCCTGAAGCCCATGCTCTCCTGGCTTTCCTGCTGCTGCCAGTGTCACGGTGGTGCTAATGTGGTGGCAACAAAGCAGATCTAACACATCGGTATTCAGCTGGCTTTCCTTCTGAGTCCTCCTCGGTACCTGCCCGGCCACTTCCCTAGCCAGCACCCACCGCAGTTCACACCGCAGTCAGGGTAAAAGCCATGGGCTGGCCTTCCTGCCTCCAGTCCGTGCTCCCTCCAACCCACGCTGTAAACACTGCCAGATTAATTTCCCTAAAACATGGCTTTCCTTCTTTGACTAGATGACTTTCACAGTCTTTCAACTCTGTGTTTTTATGTTAACCTTCTGGAATCTTGAATAGCTCCCCATTTCCCATCACATCAAATCCAACTTCCTCAGTCGGCTTTAAAGGTCCTCTAGAATCCTGTTTCCATTCAGCCTACTAACTGTACTATGTCCATCACTCAGTGACGCCCCCAAACTCATTCATTTCCTTCTCCTTCCAGTGTGCAGTAACAGAAAGAAGATGGGCTCTGGAGTCTGCAGCCCTGAGTATGAATCCTGGCCCTTCTACCTACTAGCTGGGTATCTTGGGCTAGTCACTTTACTTCTCTGAGCCTTAACTTTTCTCAGCTGTACCAGAGGCAGATCACTACCTGATTTACAGAGCTGTTCTGAGGATTAAATAACATGAGTAAAACATCAGGTGGACAGCACACATCCAGTAACAGTTATTTCCTTACTTCTTTTAACGTCTTTCTCTATCAGTGTCTCTGTTCATGCCTTTCCCTCACCCAGGAATGAATGCCTTACCTTCTGTCTTTTTAAGCCTGTTAATCTTTCAAGTCCCAGTCTCCAATCCAGGAAACACTCCTGAACTACTTCAGGGCCAAGTTCTATCCCCTCTGAATTTCTAGCCTACTGAGAGCCTTCTACCTGATTCAGCCCATCACAGTACATCTCTGTGGGGAGAGGCCAAGGCTTTGCCTCTTACATCCCCTACAGAGTGATCAGGACCAGTCTGCACACAAAGCAGTAAGAATCTGAAGGGCATATTTTATATATCTTAATGGCACTGGCTTTCAGTTCTGATGAGCTGTTATTCCTTGGAGAATAAAATATTTTCTGACATGCATTCAGTACAAGGCCAACTTTCCATCATAGAAGGAAATGGCCCTGGGTGAGACCACTCACAGGTACATGCTGGTGCATTTGAGACAAGGGCTCCTGAGGTCAGTAAAGCTCAGGGTCACCTGGAGCAATGCCCTGCTTTCAGGAGTGCAGCAGAACAGACTGGAAAGAGCACTGACCCAGGAGCTGGGAGACTTGGCTTGTAGTCCCCTGCCTGCCTGCCTCTAACCTGTTGTATAACTGCAGACGAGTCCCTTCTCTGGATGTATCTCCCCATCTATCCCATGCATAAATTAGACTATTTAAACTTCAATGGTTTTTGTGCTTTATGATTCAATGAGTTTTTGAAGTAAAACATCTTAAGACAAAGAAAAGCAATGTACTTTATCAAAATCAGAAAGTAAATTTTGTGGCAAGCCTGATTCACATAAACCACAGTCCACTATTTGACCAAATGTTAGTCTTATGTTTTTAAGGGAAGTTATTAAAAATATGGCATCTGATAGGATGAGATTTGATAAAAAAATGTCTTTGTGAAATGACATTTCCTACTAGGAAATGGATCCCGTTCTAAGCTCTAGGCTTCGCAGAGATGAAGGCAGAAAGAAGGAATGGTCAGAAGCAATAGCAGAGCCAAGAACAATGATGGCGACTTCTGGGATGGGGAACACCTCTCTACGAAGCTGCCATCCATTTCCAGTATTTCCTTTCCTCTCCTTTAAAAATTTCTGCCTGAGTACAAATTAGTTGTAAACAAAAGCCAGGCTAGTTTTATAGCAACATGTTGGCAATGATCAATGAAAAAACAAAATTAGCACTTTCAAGATTTGCTGTGCCACTTAAGTGTGAAAAAAATTACACAACATTTGAGAGACCCATCATTCTGGAGGAAAAATGATCCCTTTGCAAAAGAGGCCCTCATAATGCTCTGAAACTGTCCATCAGTCTTCAAAGCAAGAGAGAAATAGATTTCTCTAAGAAGCTACTTCAAGAAAAAGTCTCTAGTTATTAAACAATGTGATCATGACTGAAAAGAAATCAACAAATACAGAATAGTCTTTTCTTTATCTCCAGTTGGGGAAGGTTCACCCAACCCAGATACACAGTTTGAGTCATTAAAGGTCTATGGAGACCATCGATCTGATCCCATCTGGCACAGACAGGGACACTGAGGCCTGCAGAAGGGAAACCCAGAGTCATACAAGCAGGACAAAGAAAGAGCTAAGCTTAAACTCAGGCTCCTAGTTGCCTACTTCCACTCTGTCATGCCATCTCTCCCCTGCAGAGCAGACTCTTCAAGCCTGTTGGCTGGACCAAGGCAATGCAGAACGCGCCCATGGCCTGGCCCATCAGTTCTGCCTCTGCAGGGGAGGAAGTTCTCTGTGGAAGATGAGAGTAGCATACCCAAGAGAGCCCTAAAGACTAACAAGTTTCACTTCGTCAGCCTGACAATATTTGCTTTGGCTCGGTCTGGCCAGTTGCAGGGATATATCTGGACAAACCCAAATAAGACAACCTTTTCTTTCTCATCAACCCACTGGGGAACAATACTGGATAAACAGAGACCTTCTGAAGCATAAGGCAAGAAAAACAGACTGACACAGATTGAGTCTTTGAGGAGAAGGAGAAGAGATGTCTGTAATGTATGTCATGGTGGCAGAGGATATTACAGTGAAACTGCATCTGACCAGTGCCTAGACAAAGGGATCCGACATATTTCCTCCAAGATGAACTCATTTGGATGTGGGAAGTTTTTTAGAACAGTCTTCTCCCTGCCCAGCTACTATATCATCATATGACTTTAAGATTTCCAAAGGCTGTACTCCTGTACCAATATAACTACTAATAGTGCTTAAGTTTTCTTTCATAATCTTTTTCAAGAGACTTACAATAAAATCTGAGGAGTTAGACTGTGGTCCTAGGACTGTGGGCTAACCATGCTAAATGGACAACTTGCGAGCTGCCTACGGGTAAGGAGCATGTCCCGTTCACCACTGCACACCTAGCATTTAGCGCAGGGCGTAGAACACACAGGTACTTTGTAAATGGTGAATGGGTAAATGATGAGTTGTATCCATATCTGTAATGCAGATATATCATTTCTCAATCACCTTATAAATTTTATGCATCTGGTTTCATTAAATTATCATTTTTTTAAAAAATCTTTCTCGCTAATAAGCTGTTTTTAAATGTCAGTTTAGTTTTACAGTTGTTTCGACCCAACATTTGCCAAAGGAAAAAAAAAAAAAGAAGAAGAGAAAAAGAAAAAGTCCTCGTAAAGCTCCTCTAGCTCTAACCCATGATTTCTGGAAGCAGTCACTCGAGGAGAGGCCAGGAGGCCAAGCAGTCAAGCTATCTCTCGAAAAGCTCCCACCATATTCTCCATCTTCGCTCTGACTAGCCAGCACTTGCAGGGAATGGATAGTGAGCTTGAAACACTACCTTGCCATTGTCTAGGATATACTTGTCCATGACAGGTGCAGGAGCGGGGTAATAGGACGACGTATTTGCTTCCTCACTGAAAGTGCTCCGTAACTCCGGCTCGGGCTCGAGACATTCTGACTTTACTTTTTCCAAGTCAATGGCGGGACCTAGGCAGTTAAGAAAAGAGATCTGTCTAGAACTCCAAGGAAAATAAAAGGCAAATATTTTCAACTACGCATCTATCAGCACATAGTGGCACACACAGAAATAGGCTGGCTTATTTTTGTCCATTGGATGACACTTAAACCCAAGCTTGAAAATAATATAAGGTATGAATGTCACAAGGGAAAAGGTATAAAACCAGAAGACAAGAATGGACTGGACTAATTAAGCGTGAACGAGAAGCAGTCTTCCAGGGTGTCACTGCCTGAATGAAAATGCAGGGGACTTGACCTCTCGCACAGGAAAGAGGTCCTGCTAAGACTGGGGTAGACAAGGGGTGGCAATGACTGCAATATCCAAATTGTGTATTTGCCGAAATCCCATCTCTGCAGCCTATACGAAGCAGGCCACAGCAGAAGACAGGAGAGCAGGGGGCAGAAATGCAAAGGCCTCCCCGCCAAGACCTAGCATCTACAATACACAGGAGCATTTCTACCAAGAAATTAAAATACAATACAGATCAAGCCCCTGATTGCCTGAACCAGCAGCTACCCTGATTTTTATTTTAATGAAATCAACACAAATTATGTGTGGTTTAAACAGTGAAAGGCAGCTAGATAAATGGTGGTGGTTTCTAAAGGGGGTATTTTTTTCCCCATTAGCTTTTTAAAATGATGGACTTTTAAAAAAAATCACCTATTGTGTCTTGATTACCAAAAGGCAGAGAAACAGGATGAAAATGAGTAAATATGGCCCAAAGACTTGATTAACTTTTGCAGGAGAGCAACTCCAAAGGCCAGTGGAGAGTTTAGCATCCTGGAAATCCTCCCTACGCAAATATTTCAGGAGTTGACTGGGATCAGTAATTCAGCTACTAGCAAAGCCAGTCCCCAGGGTTGTGCATGTAACTTAAGTAACCAGTAAGTTTCATGGTCCAACCTTCCCTTATCCTAACCATGTGGGCCACTTGGTACAGAGCACTTTATGTACTAAAGTCTTCACCAACAATCTGATTACAATTTTATGATCAATTGCCACATTCTTTCTTTGGCTGGTGGTTGGGAAGGTATTGGTGATTTTGTTACTAAAATTCCTCCTGACAGGGCTTCCCAGAACAAGAATATCATTCCTGAGTTGCTGGCAGCTGCCATCTGCAAAACTGAATCTCTGCAGTCGCCAACTACTTAAGTACGAGCCCACAAAGCTGAATGCAGCATGGCTGGGGAGAAACACAGAGCAGATGAAAGGGCAGGGCTCATCTTGGGAGACAGAGTTGAGGGCTCCTTCCCGGCTTTGCTATGTTTGAATTGTGTGACCATAGGCCAGTGAACTGTGGAAGCACAGGTTGGCAGAGTGAAGGACCGATGGCATCATAATGGTTCTAATAGCATCTCCCAACACTGCGTGACCCCCTCAAGCGCTGGGCCTAGGGCTTATTCTCTGTCCCAGCACCTGGCATGAGGAGGTGCTCTCTGAATGTCTGCTCCATGAATAAGAGAATGACAACAATGAATGAATAATTCTAAAGTTTCAGAAGCAGATGCCAAAGTTTCTCCTCTTTCTGTGTGAGATCTTGGTTGAGTTTCTGAGATACAAACTCAAGTGGAGCATTTGATCTTTCCTTAGATCAGGGAAGAAGTAATTACTCCAGTGTCCCCTAAGGGGCTTGGCTGAGTTGGCATCTGGGGTCTCTTCCTGCTCTGACATTCAGCAACAAGAAACAGGAGTGGGCTGAGAGGAGGTGGTCCACGCAGACAGTGGCTCACAGGGCACCTTTGGCAAGATGGTGTTCCTCCTCTAAAGCTTCCTTTTCCTTCTGTGAGAGGAAGATGTTGGACAAGAGAATGAATCCAGTTCAGCTCTGACTTCAGTCTGTTTCTCTCCCATCCCTATCCACAATGGCTGCCAAACAGATCTCATGACCATCTCCTTCCTTGCTTAGGCTTCCATTACCCTCAAAATTAAGTTGCACACCATATCCTCCTTAAGGCCTAGAATAACCAGCTTCCTCTCTACCTCTGGTGCTCGGTTCCTGCTCTCCCCTGATACTGACCTCTACTTGGTCCCCAGATGCTCTGCTGTCCCAGGCCTCTGCACCTCTGGATGTGCTACTGTTCTGCTTTGAATGTCACCTCATCTGCCTGCCAAGCCCCTGGTCAGACTGAAGAACAGAGCTTAGGTATCTCTTTCGTGAGGTCTTGCTCTGATCACTACCAGGAAGGGGTTCTTTAAATTGTAAATACTTCCAGTGAATTATATTTGCAACCATCTACCAGTCTGTCTGCTGTCCACATCAAAGCTCTGCAAGGGCAAAGTTTTATTCTCTTTGCAATCTTGGCACCTTGGGCAATGCCTGGCACATTGCAGGCTCTCAGTAAATTCTTCGTAACATGAGAGGAGGAAGAGAGTTGTAGGGGGAAAGAGACTTAAATGGGCTGGGGCAGAGATTCTGAAATAAAGCCCTACCGCTGAGTGGAGGTTCTTGGGGGTGGGAGTTGGGGTGAGTGGGAAGCTGTTCCCAAATATCTGCAACCTTTTTTTGCAGCCCATGGAGCAGAAGTTAGGGCTGTTAAATAGAAATCAGAAATGTCTAGCCAGGGGAATGAACAGTTCAGATGGCTACAGAGGGACACATAAGGGACATCAGAAGGAAGAAGGGCTGAGAGCAAGGGTCACTTCTCTGGCTCCACCCCGTGCTCGTCATTCCAAAGTGGCCTGCCTAACCCTCTCCTCACATACACCACTCCTTCCCGCTTCCCAGCCTTTGCTGGTGCTGTTCTCTCTGTCCAGATCATTCCACCCCACAGATGCCCACCCACAAAGGCCACCAGGGATTCAAGGCCTGACTCAAATGCCACCTCCTCTATGAGGCATCCCATCCTTTCAAACGGAGGTGAGCAATTCTCTCCACCCCTTGGCTTAGAATTTGGAGTCAGAGACTGAGGTTTACATTCTGGATTTGCCCCTTGCTGTTCAGGTAAGCTGTGAGCGTCCTCAGATAGGCAGGCTCTGCCCTCCTTTGGAACCCTTCCTCCCAATAATAATCAGATGCACGTATCAGTTTCTAAGCCTGTCTTCCCCCTAGACTGTAAGGGCTGATGGCAGGCAGGGACTGTGTGTTTTTATGTTAGAGACCAGGGCTCAGCACAGGGCCTGGTTCAAATTCTACCCTCCACAGGTAATTTTACATATCAATAATTACTTAACCTTTCCGACCCTGTCGCCTCACCTGAAAGAAGGAATGATAACAGCAACCTGGCCAGACTGGAGATTAAGTAAGTTAACCATATATATGAAATGATTAATCCAGACTCTGGTACAGAGCGGGTGCCCAGTAAATAACGGCTCACCCCCCCGCCTCTGCCCCACACAGGCGTCACATGTGGGTGCTCGAGTCAGTCCTCTGCAAGCTGGGGCCCTGCTGGTCTTTTGCCCTAAGTCTGGAGCACAGGCCGAGCCCAGAGCGGGTGCTCGTGCTCCACGGCAAACCCACAACCCCTGTGCCGGTCTCCTCAGGGACTAAGAGGGTTTTGTTAAATACTGAGGCCGCTGTACTAGGATCTTCTCGCTCTCAAGGAACACTGCTTCCCAACATTCTGGTGAGCACTGTCTAACAGCTGGTGGCTGCCAGGGATGGGCACCGCTCTCGGCACCTGCCTCCTTCGGTGCAGTATACAGAAGGTACCGGGTGCCTCGGCAAAGAGGACAGACCGACCCAAGGCATATCCTGGAAGGAGTCTGTCAGGAAACCTGGCTGTGAATCCAAGCTGCATGACCTCAGGCATGTCACCTCACCTCTCTGTGCCTGGTCTTTCCTACCTGCAAAATGGGGACAGCCAATAGTCACCATGCAGGCTGATAATGCCTCCCGAGAGCCTGGCACTGAGGCAGGCACCGAACAGACGCTCAGACACAGGCTCAGGAAATGGCAGATGAAGGGAGGAATGGATCAGTCAGTAAAGCGGGGTGTTTAGTACTATAGAATCAGAAAGAGAAGGAACAAAAAGCATGTGGTTTCTTTGAGGAGAAGAGGGAGGGCCTCTAGTGCTTTTAATTTAGGGGGAAAAACACTTCATTGCAAATTTTAGTCAGCTTCACTACAATGTTGGCAATTTACATCTCATTACAACAAACACTTCAGATTGCTGTTTTGCTTTTAAAAATTTCTGAGGCATTGTTCTCCTTCAAACACATGTGACCAAATTAGCCACAATAATAAGCACTTGCGCTAAGAGGCGGCATCGCACGGTCTGGTGTAGATATTTTAAGTAACAAAGGAACTTTTTTCACTTTGTGGGAAGAGTAGAAATGAAAAAAAAAAAGCCTTTTGATCCATTTCAGGTTTATTTTGGAGAAAACATACCTTCCATGGAGAGAAACCTCTCAGCTGGGTAAAGGAAGCTTTTGAAAAAATATAAAAGACAGTGCTTGTCTTTTTACTCAGTCATTCATAAGCCCATTCATCACACACCCCCTGACTGCACACCAAGACTGAACCCTGTGAGAGGCACTGGGGACCCAGAGACAAATACAGCATGTCCTAATTCTGGAGAAGTTGAGACTAACATGTGAAACTCTTATTACATGCCATACAAATAGCTTGGCGGACAAACACTGGATTTAATGCTAGAAAACGTGGTGCAAATCCTAGTTTTGTTATTTACTTTATCTTTTTAAGCTCCTGTGCCTCTCCCATAAAATGAGAATCACAACACAGAGTAAGTGGCTGGGCAAATGTTTGTTGGCACAACAAATAAATGAAATTATACTATTCTCTGTTCTTGTCTAGCTTAAACTGGACTAATGTTATTCTTCCTGAAAACCTTTCTAAAAAGTTAATACTTGTGTGACTTCCATGAGGTTTAAAATTCATCTATTTCTTAAAAAAAAATATATATATATATATATACATATATAAAAATACATGTTTGGGCACTAAAAAACATTTCTGATTTCTGTTGAAACCAAAAGACTAGTATTAGATTTTTCTTTAAAAGTATTAAAT